TGAGTCGACTATTATCAAAGCCGGCAATCTGACTTTTGGACAATGATTGGTAAATCAGAAAAACGAATTATTGACTTTGTATTCCATTGGCAGTCACAAAACTCTTCGGAACGACATCTTAGATAAATAACAGGTTAACTATTAACCTTTATTTAGTGCAGGTTTTGAACCGTATTCTTTGAAGGAGACGATTATATTCAAATCAATCTGTATTGACATATCAATAAATTTTTTTGTCCAAATGCACAGATTGCCACCTTTGATAATAGACGACTCAAATATACTCAAAACGTTCATGATACCTATGTCGATAAGAACCGATGTAGTTTATTATTGTATAAAGAAACATATTAAACTATGTAGTGCATTTGTAAGCTCCTCAAAAATAGTAATAAATGCAAGAGTACATTTTTTATATGCCGTGCATCACGGTGAGTTGCGCTCGACAAATATTTTGTGCGATTTACGACTTTCGCTTCATGCAAGAGTTATTATTACGTTTTACGGGAAACCACTCAGTACGCGGTGTGGTGACCAATCACTCTGTTGTTTCTATAATAATTACTTCTGTTAATTACCTCTTATCTACCTCTAATAAATCTAAAAAGTTTCCTAATGTGGGGTTGGAATGCTAGTAGATATAATATTCAAATCACGGACTGCAGCTTGATCCAAATTGTTTCATCTTACATAAGTCGTTGTAACTATACTGAGACCTTAGAACTCTTATCTCAAGGTGGGTGGCGGCATTTACGTTATAGATGTCTATGGGCCCCGGTAACCACTTAACATCAGGTGGGCCGTGAGCTCGTCTTACTATTAAAGCAAGTAAAAAAAAAAACGTAAGTAAAAAAATCTTAACATTGTGATATATTCTAAGAACTGAATAATCGAAATGAGATTTTTTTACTACGCCCTTTATCTACATCTATATATTTATATATATCAAAAATGAATTGCTGTTCGTTAGTCTCGCTAAAACTCGAGAACGGCTAGACCGATTTGGCTAATTTTGGTCTTGAATGATTTGTGGAAGCGCAGAGAAGGCTTAAAAGGTAGATAAATATGAAGATGTGTCCCCCGTCGCCGCGTCGGACGGATTCCTTTTGTTTGTTTTAAGTTTATTTTATAAAAAAGTTTAGGTCTTTTATTTATCGATTGAGGCACTACGAAGTCTGCTGGGTCAGCTAGTAATACAATGAAAAAATGAATGCTAAATTTACTTAAATCATCAAACATCGCGCAAAATAATTGAGAGAGATATCTATCTACAAGATTAAGTTTGCGAAAATGGCAACGAGAAAGTGTGTCCATGCCGGACGTACCGCAAGTGTGTTGTAAATGGGTGGCCGCAAAACAAGACAGTGAGTTGCACCTTGCAACAAATCGCCTCGACGCCGTTGTCGCAATAACAAATTCAATAAGTAAAATTTCAATCAAGAAAAGTAGAAAATAATCAATCGAATACCTTCAATTTCTCGAGGGTCGCTCTTTCGCGAGATGTAAAATATAAATCCACAAAACACAATTTACGTTACCGTACACTGTTTATATTCACTGTACAACGATCACTGAAGCTATTATTTTTCACGTCACTGAATTTGAATACATTTTAACGTAAATCGTAAATCAGTCTCGTTTGAAAGTTTTGGTTCGGAGGTGCGCGTACGACGATCGACAGTCGCGGTGGAACGTGGAGCGTGGAGTGTTGAGGCGGTGCACACCCCACTACGGATGTCGGACAGCGCTGTTCTGTCGAAACGCTTCGAGATAAGGACCACCTCCACTTGCCGCTTCCCGCTGCGAGGGCCCTAATCTTTTACGAGTCGCCGGGACAGGAGTCTATGAACTTTGTCACGCGTTTTTTTGTCGATGGAATTCTCTCACTGCTGACACATTAAGCTACCTGAGTCTATGCTTGTCACGAATTTTAACAACTAAAGAATGCGTTTTAATTGAGCGCAATGCAACACGAAAATCTTGGTCGTTTAAGATAGCTTGCTCACAATATAAAGACGACGGAGGCTTGATATATAAAACAACATCATCTGTGCTCGAAAGTGCTCGAATTCTTTTGTATCAGTAACGGATACTTTCTTTTATCTCTTGCTTCCTCGAGTGCTGTCGTGGGTGGTTTTTAAAATTCTTTTGTTTTTTTTTTTACTTTTTATCACATCGCCCGGCGTGTACTGCAGTCCCCTATGCTTTGGAATTAATAATTTGTACAAACTTGAAATGTATGCAAATTAAATTTGTGACAAAATATTTTTTTATTGTACTGTACTGTCATAGTGAGGTAATAATAGCTTTTGCGTGCATCTAGAATCAATAAACATCTAATAAATCACTAATTCAACCAAATAACTCTGTAAATAGATCTTAATCATAAACAGCTGAAGGCATACATTTTTTTTGTAATTTTTTTTTTGCTCTTATAGGCAGACGAGCATACGTCCCGCTTGATGGTGAGTGGTTACCGTCGCCCATGTACTTCAGCAATGCCAGGGACAGAGCCAAGCCGCCGCCTAACGTTAATCTAAATATCATGAAGGAAAATCATAATATTGTAAATCGTAGAAGCAAACAAGATATACCTATATGAATTAAGGTTCTTTGTATTTCGGCCGCTTTAAGACAGCATATTATGGACCAATATTCGGGTCATTTCGACCTCTTGTTGGAGACAGTACCTCTATTAAGTATATTTTGGTTTACTTGTGTTTGTCTCGTACGTGTAGTCCCAGCACCCATTAAAAAAGTCATCGAGCTCACAGCCCACCTGGTGTCAAGTGGTTACTGGAGTCCATAGACATCTACAACGTAAATGCGCCACCCACCTTGAGATATAAGTTCTAAGGTCTCAAGTATAGTTACAACGGCTGCCCCACCCTTCAAACCGAAACGCATTACTGCTTCACGGCAGAAATAAGCAGGGCGGTGGTACCTACCCGCGCGGACTCACAAGAGGTCCTACCACCAGTACCTGTTGATACAAGGCGAACTCAATATTCATTGATAGGCGGATTACAAACGTAACAGTTATGCAAAAACAAGGCATTCAAAGTAGGTTGCGGTTAACTAATAACAGCTTTAGCGAATTAATGTTCAACATTAACAAAATTTGTTTCTAAAAATTATTAAAAAAAAACAACAAGTATTTAAAGTAAATTGAAACGGTAATAAAACAATATTAGTTTTAATTAATCTAGACGGTGCAAGAATATCAGAATTCCAAACCTTTTTCAATAAGCAGTGGGTTCCTCCGTGTCCCTGGTATTAATTATGTCTATAAAACTATTCATTGTTTCCCCTTTTTTTTTATTGCTTAGTTGGGTGGACGAGCTCACAGCCCACCTGGTGTTAAATGGTTACTGGAGCCCATAGACATCCACAACGTAAATGCGCCACCCACCCCGAGATATAAGTTCTAAGGTCTCAGTATAGTTACAACGGCTGTCCCACCCTTCAAACCGAAACGCATTACTGCTTCACGGCAGAAATAGGCAGGGCGGTGGTACCCACCCGGACGGACTCACAAGAGGTCCTACCACCAGTAATTACGCAAATTATAATTTTGCGGGTTTCATTTTTATTACACGCGGTTATTCCTTCACCGTGGAAGTCAATCGTGAACATTTGTTGAGTACGTATTTCATTAGAAAAATTGGTACCCGCCTGAGATTCGAACACCGGTGCATCGCTCAACACGAATGCATCGGACGTCTTATCCGTTAGGCCACGACGACTTCAATGCGTTACCAGCTAAATCACGTCGGCCACGAAACGCGCTATAATTTCATAGTCTCGCAGTAAGCCCGAAGTCGCTAAACAACACTTCCCGCTATCATGTATCAGTCAAACAAACGCTTAAACTAACGGTTATTGCGAATTCTAATAAAACTTGACCTTACCACTTGCGAAAATTGCCTGGAGACTAGGATCTGTCTCATTTCAGGTATGTCTTAATGTAGGGGCTACGTAATGACTGGATTACGTTTATTTGGCGAGCAGGGTCGCCGCGCCCACATCCGAAACAATGAATAAGTCTGGGTGCCTAATGACATGACAGTAGGGATGTGTTCAGACACGATTCTCGCATTATTAAATATTAAAACCATTAAAACCAATACACTACATTTATATTCTTGTATGTATTTATATTCTTGTTTATTCTTTCTTGTGTGTTATCCACAGAAATATATCAGAAAAAACGAACAGTTAAAAATGGGTTATGGGGCGAGATTAATTGATATATTGAAGATTATTATTAAGTTTCAAGTAGTTGCTTTTCTATATGTTTCAAATTAAATATTTTCTATTTGCGTGAAAAAAAAAGAAAACCAATCGCTACCTGAATTTTAAATTAAAATTTTAATTTTAAGGATTTTGAGGCCATATATGTCACATTAAATCAATCGTTAACGATATATATTTTTTTTCGATGCATTAAGCTTGCTTGTCAACATTGTGACGAAGACGAAACACGGCGCGGCGCGGCGGGTAGATGTGAATTAAAAATACAATTTTTTTCTCAAATTACTATTAGATTTATTATAAATCGTATCTACATGACTGCATAACAAAACTATTGAATCACCATACTAATGTTACGGTGGTTTATTCAAAGCGTCTTTACACTATACTAGCGACCCGCCCTCGCTTCGCTTCGGAAACATTAAAACACACATGAAACCAAAAAAAAAAATAAAAAAAAATAAAAAAAAGTAGCCTATGTTCATCAGGGACAATGTCGGCTTCTAATAGAAAAAGAATTTTTCAAATCGGTCCAGTAGTTTCGGAGCCTATTCGAAACAAACAAACAAACAAATCTTTCCTCTTTATAATATTAGTATAGATATAGATATAGATAAATAAAACTAAACTTACACTAAACTGCGAATCAAGATATTTGCTAGATAAATACAAGTAATTTACACATTTTTTACTTATGAATATGAATAAGTTTGAAAACAATAACTCATATCATTAGTTCTAAGCTTTCTAAAGGTTAATAACCTATAAAATGATATACACAACCTTCATCTGGTTTTGCCACTAACTTTACTCAATAATTACTAATAGCTACTAATATAATCAGACGACACTAATATATTATAGACAGTAGTTAAATTGTTAATATGTAGACACAATATATTAAAGACAGTAGTTTAAGTCGGTATATGAGAAATGGTGGCAAGTTGAAGGCAAGTTAATTTTTACATGACGATACAACTATTATGACGAATGTTTTCAACACGCTTTTAGTGGCTTCACCTGAATCTATATGTCTATGTAACGGAATCTTTTACACATTAGCTTGAAAACGTGCATACTTGTCAAAGAACCATGATAATACAATAATTTTGTTCGTTTGGTCCAATATCCTGATCTGCATTACCGCAACGCATCGTTATTGTAGTAACTACTATTGAAACGATCACATTGAAATTCGTGATTTCTTCGCGACAGAAATAGGAAGTGGCGGTTACGTGTTCTGTTTCTGAAAAGTGGAGCAGCTGTTATTCGATCACATTGAGACGCCGACCTCACGTCATTGGTAGGTATCCTTTCAACACCATTCGGGACGTGAAGTCATTCGCGTTTCTAGGAAATAAAAAATGCTACCTGGCTTTGATTAATTGTGTCGCATGAATGTGTGTCAGGAATCACCGCTGTTGCCTTATATATTTTTAATATCGAACGTATTCACTATACTACGCAACAGCCATTCAGTGAAACATTTTTAAATAAAAATCCTTATTATAAAACCACCTTTAGCCATCGGTTTGTATGTACTTCTATTATGCCATTATCTTAATTCCTTGTAGAGTTGGCGTGACCATAAACTTGCGCTTGTCCCGTCCACAGAGATAAGAAAGCTTAGAACTCTCAAACAATACCATAAATACTTATCAGTGTTGTGCAGCAAACTAGAAAGATTAGATTAGATGAAAAAGTGGTTCCTCTATGCAGCATTATTTAAGTCTTTACGCAAAATGAATGCATTTATTTAAGGGCGTTTACATAAAATTGGGGGCACTGGTCTTAATCTTCACGGATACAATAACGACTAATTTAAAATTCTTCGCATAGAAATAATATAATAGAATTTCATTTAAAATAAATCCACTATATAATTCCGTAATTTCAACTATCCAAATATTGGTTAAGTAAACAAATGTTACGTATTTCTATATCACCGAAAAGTGACTATACTTGTTTTAGTTTGTACGAAGGTTATATTTGACTTTTTGCCGGCTTATTATTCCATTTTTTGAGTTGACAAATAATCGTATGCACATATCCAGACTACAGATTGTATTTAAATGTTCAGAGTGTATTTGTACAGTCAAATCTATGTAGTTCGTTATTCTGTGGTTTCAAAGAATCCTGGTAGCATCATCGACGTCTCGATTATTTAGTTATCCCGCTTATAGGCAACTTCCGGGTTTGGTCTACCAACGCTCTTTGTCCACACGTCGTACTTTATTCACGTACGACGAGAGCTATGTGTGTATTTGTTTTATTTATCACGTCAAATTATTAACATAAATTCATGCTCACAATATCTCCTTTTCCGATATCTAGTAGAGGGCGGTGTGGCGTTTAAGAACGCACCTTTTTATGATGCGTAAGCCGGAACGCACGAGAGGTGGAAAAAAATATATAGTCTGTGACACGGGACCTTTTTACCGCCGAAAATTTAAAACGAAACATTATTTATAATGTGTTTAA